AAAGAGGGGGGAGAAACAGGGGGAGGGGGGAGAAAGAGGAGGGAAAAGGAGGGGGGGAGAGAGAAAAAAAAATCTACATCTGTTGTCTCTGTGATTTTCAGCTCAGAAGAGGAAGATGAAAAAGAATGGCAAGAGAGAATGAGTCAAAAGAAGATGCTACAGGTAAATGCACCCCCATTGCCCTACTGTTTGGAAATATCGTGTTATTCATGTGTTATGCTTTAAAAATTTTTAATAGTGTTTGGAGGTATAAAGCTCAGAACAGCATTGAGAAGCAAGTAAGTTAATTTTAAGAATTCCAGGAATTCTTGCTGATCATAAAATACAAATATAATTTGCTTCACTTGGAGTACAGCAGTCCTCCAGGGAATATTCAAATGCAATGTATTTTTGATAGGTAAATTCAGTATTTCCTTCTGATGCACTGATCACCTGGGAAGAGGAAAAAATAAAAATAATTAATTAATCTAGCAGAGTGACTTTGTGAATGATATAGTTATATTTGCTTTCACGCAGTCAGCATAGTAAATAAAGAAAAAACTCTTGGAAATGTTTTTGCTGTTTGAAATAGTCTGGTCTCAGAAAGAGAGTCTTTGGAAGGATAAAAGTTAGAATTACAGAGGCAATAGGAGTTGTTTCTGTGGCTAAATATCTTGTTGAGGAAAAACCCATAAGTTTTCAGTAGTAGTTTTTTATATGTTGTATTTTAATAATTACGTAGTTTAAACAAGTTATTTAATTAGGTAATGGTTACTTTTTGCAGTTTTATTTACTGTATAAGAGGTAGCAAAAAGGTTTGAATTTTTTTTCTTTAGATTTGCAGTGATGCTGTAGATATCTTAATTGTTGGTCTGTAGTACGAAGTAAGTGTTTGTGTATGATGTTGTTCATGTTTATAGGAAGAATTGCTTGAAAATCCTCATTCCGTAGATATTGAATCAGAGGACTTCAACAGTTTGCCTCCAGAAGTAAAACATGAAATCTTGACTGATATGAAAGAATTTACGAAGCGAAAAAGAACATTATTTGAAGTAATGCCAGAGGTAAAATTTAAAATATTTTCAAGGCATTGCATTGGAGTTACTGTCACTAAGGCACATGAAGACTACAGAAGAATAACGTATCTGGAAAGTTTTAATCAAAGATCCATTTTACAAGAGATATTTGGGGATTTTTGAGGAGGATTTTCATGTTTAGAGGGGAAAAAAAGGCAAGGTAATAATTCTTCAGAGATCCTTTCAGTGTGTATATGTGGGGTCCTATTTTCTGATTTCTACTAAAATGAAGGACTAAGTCTTTTTGGCAAGAATGGAAATACCATGCTGTGTCTCATGCCACATCAACATTACATCCAACGTTTCAATTGCGAAACCACGTTAATGGTGTGGATAAATCATTCAGAAAGACACAGGTTGACTTCCAAACCCTCAGTTTGTTAGGGGAGCTGGTAGCTGGGAAAAAAAAAAAGATCTTTATGTCTGTAAATGTGCACCAAAGTCATCCAGCAGCTGTGACACCAAAGCCATTCAGAGACGAGCAGGGAATGCTACAAGTGCCACTTTTAGAATAGTTTTTCAGAGAAGAGGAAGATTTTTAATGTACAGTATATCAAATGATAGCTTGTATCAAAAGGTAAGCCAAAAACCATTTTGTGATGGGCAACATCTTAAAATTACTCATGCGTGGCTTCTGTTATAATAGAGTTGTGTTTGCGATGGGGTCTGGCTGTATGAGCCCATTGATTTATGTTGGTCGTGTTGTTCTGTTGTTCAGATCTCATTGGGTTTAAACAGCATTCAGAACTGTTCAGAGATACTTCTTAAAATTCTAATCCATATTAAGATGTTGTCACCATCACTTGGGAATGCAGCAGGCAGTAAAAGACCAATGTTCTCTGATTTAAAGAAATAAGAAAATATTTTTACCAGAGATCTCTCTGGAGCATTTGCTTAAAAGAGGCAGTTTCTGCCATGTTATATAAATTGAGTTGGGTTAATTTTTTTTTTCTTTTTTTAAGGAGTCAAATGACTTTTCCCAGTATCAGCTTAGGGGGTTGCTTAAAAAAAGCAGCCTCAATCGACACATAGAAAATGTAGAAAAAGAATTGAATCAGCAGCACTCAGGTCAAATACAAACACAATATGAAAATGAGGGTGGTTTTGTGAAAGAAGTGGAATCAAAGAGAGTAGTCTCTGAAGATACTTCTCACTATATCCTAATAAAAGGTATGCCAGTTCTTCATTTCATAAAACTTCTTTTTGAGTATTTGCATCTAAGTTTTTGGAAAAAAATGAGTGCTATTTAGAGGTACATTTAGCTGATGATTATATGGAATGCATTGCATTTATTAGACATAATTAACTGTAATAACAACCAAGTAGAAAACAGTTTTATTAATCTTTAAATTATGATTTTGATTTTCATAATGTAAAAAGAAAATTAGCATGAACAGTTATGTATTTAAAAAGAGCAATAACCTTTTTTTCTCAGGTATTCAAGCAAAAGAAGTTACTGGTAGAGATTTGGAAACTACTGAAGCACATTCATCAAAAAGGCTAGAGTTTACTAACTCTGATAAAAAAATCAATGAGTCTCCTGCTAATACAAACCCAGTTGAGTGTGAGAAGTTGCAGATGGAGAAAGAAAACAGTGTGGTAACAGCGCCACCATCTCCTCAGACTTTGCTTGCTATTCAGGCAGCTATGATAGAAAGCAGCTCGGAAGAGGAACCAGGGATTGAGGATAAAGGAGTATTCAAAGTGGACCAGCCCGGATTGGAGGAAGGCAGCATATCTCCAAGAACTCTGCGGGCAATTCAGCAAGTTCTGGGTGATGATGATAAAAGGGAGGAAGCTGTTACCTATAAAACTGATGGAGTGACAACAGAAAGAGCAGAAGTGAACGATTTTCTCCTTAGTAGTTCAGATGAGGATGAGGAGATTCGTGAAGTTAAGGAGGGAAAAAAATTACCTACATCTACGACTCATCCACCTAACCAAGTGGTTTTGCAAGATTCTGAATTTGGCCAAAAGAGTCACGAGTTGGAAAAGGTTCATATTGCACCCGATGACATCAGTATTTCCAGAACTGAAAATTATTCTTTTGTTGATGACACTGGCAAAAGAAAGAGTGACGTAGACAAAGAAGAAAATGGTTCCAAAGTAGAGCTAAGTTCTTTGGAAGATAAAAATATAAACATGTGTATGCAGAATTCAAGCTCTTCTCCTGCACAGACAAGTACACAAGTTTTGATTGAGGCTGAAACAACAGGCCTTTCTGAAAAAGAGGAAAATCTTAAAACATATGAAGATACAGAGCCAGTAATTTCAAAAGCAGAAAATAATGTATCTGAGGTACAAAAGGAACTTAGTCTTTCTCCAGAAGCAGAAGGTCCTCCCAAGGAACAAGTAGAAGGAACATCACAGTCTGAAGACAGTGATTCTGATGGTATGTGCTTTTTCATTATGTATTTATGTTTGGGATCATTCTTGATTCTAGCCAGGGTTTGAAGACTTTTGTGATGAACAGTTCTGCAAGAAAGTAGGCCATTATTATGTTTGCAATAAGTTGAAGTCAGCCTTTTCTCACAGTGCATAAAAAATATGTTTGAGATGAGAAAATTTGAACTATATTTTCCCCTGGTGTAATGCTGAAATATGAGGAAAAAAATACTGTTCTGTAGCTTGAACTTCTTTCAATGATGCATTAGTGGCCAGCCACATCGTTTCCATAGTTTCATGGTGCTTGTCTCTATTAACTGCACATAGCAGCTTTGTGGGTGAGGAAACATCACAGCACAGACTATGAAGAGATTCTAACATTTCCTTGTAAACTAGCAGCAAGAAGCTGAACTCTTTATTTTACATTTTTAGGAAGCTTTATTGAAGTGGACACTGAAATCAGTGATGAGGCTGAACTTTCTACTGAATATGATGAGAAACTGGGTGATAAAACAGAACTTGCAGAAATGGAGAAAGATAGATTTGATATTGTTACTGAGGACGCTGCAAAGAAACCTGATGAAGTGCAGCTGGCAAACCATCAGACTGTTGAAAGCGAGAGTGATGGTAAAGATGCAGTGAATGAGTGGCAAGACGTCAGTTTGGTAATTATTAGTTATTTGTTTTAAGTGAGTAATGAAGGGCTCTGTAGCTTAATATGCATTTCAGGGAAAACTGTCTTCCATTTATATTACAGCTACTTGCAATAGTTGTGTACTGTTTATCACTCTCTCAAACATTTTTTATCTGCAGTATATATATATATATTTAATATGAGAGTTAGCCATAATTGCCACTGAGAAAAATTGTAGGATTTTAGCACTCTGATGAATAGACCTAATTATGGTCTTATAATTTACTGCATTAAAGAAGCTATGACAATTTACAGGTGTGAATTAAAGGAGCCTATACACTTAGAATAAATATAGTAGGAGACTTAAATATACTGGGGTAAGTAAAGCACTAAATTTTTTTAATGACCAAAATCTTATTCTGTTTTTCAGGAGGAACTAGAAGAACTGGAAAATGATCTTTCCACTGAACAAAGTATGCTTCAGGCTCAGAAGCAGCAGCAGGAACGTGTTGCTGCTTCTGTAACAGGACAGATGTTCTTGGAAAGTCAGGTAGTGTTTGTTGAAGTATTTTGACATGCTGTGGGATGCTGTGGAATGCTGTGGGATAAGTGTTCCCCTTCCCACCTTCCTTAGGAGTTTTTTTTTCTCAAAAGCTGTTTGTATTTTTTTTAAATTGTAGCTCGCCTTTTCCTTCTTAGGTGGTTATTTGTATACTTTAGTCTGCTTAATTTAAAATGCTGAGGGAAGATAAATCTTCAATTCCAAGAGCTGGAAATAACTCTTACAATACTATTATTAAATAGTCATTCATTATGAACAAAAATATTTCCACTTCTGAGCACAAAACTTTTTGAATTGAATAGGAAACTAAACTTAGCAGTATGGAATTGATGTAGTTGAATTTAGATAAACTATGATTTTCCCTAATGATTAAAAGATGGAAGCATAAAAGAAAGCTTCATTGCAACCCGGGTCCTATGTAATATATTTTGAAGAACTTCACCAGTAATGCTTTCACAAGCCTGTAACTTTTGTTTGGGTATTAACATTGGGAAGATAATTCTGTCAAATGCAAAGACTACTGCGATTTGGATTTTCCAGTTGTAAATAAACAATGTTGAATTTACTATAGCCATAAAATAGTAGACAAGCAATTGGTCTATGAGGTAATACATTTATTGTAAGAAATATGTAAGATTATATGTTCATGTTTTACTTGAATAAAAGGCTTAGTTTGAATGTCATTAAAAAGACTGATTTTTTTTCTTATGTTAAATGTTTGCTTAACTTTTATCTTTAGATTACTTTTTAAAAGGCCAGTAACTTCTGTAATATTACATGCCATTTGGTAGATATGCCATTATAGTTGTAAGTCTTCTGACCTTGTGCTTTTATTCCTTATTAAAATGAAGAGTTTTAAGTCAACAGTTTCGAAGTTGACTTGGCTAGGGTACAAAAGCATTTTTTTTTTTGCAATGAAAGAGAAAAGAAAACTTTTTTTTTTTAAATAAAAACTTTACACCTAGGTTTTGCAGTAGTTATTACATCCAACCTGGGAACAGGAGAATAAATGAAAAGTATAATTCATGGAGATGAACTAATTCAGAGTTGTGTAACCGATATTAATATGTAAACCTGGTGCATGTGGGATATTTAACTGAGGTTAAATAACGTATTTCGTAAAAGCAGGTTGAGTGAAGCCTCTAAAAACACATGTATCTCTAAACACCGTCCAAAGGATGGCTAATCTGCCTTCTGCTTGTTGCCTGATGTGTGTGTTTCATACTTTTGTCACCAATTTCTGTGCTAAAATTGTTACTGCCTTGTTTTTTTTGCCTTTCTTTCGTGCATCCTACATGACTGTCATGCATGAACTTTTCTCCATCTTAAATCAGTAGTGGTTATGGGAAGCAAGATACTGGAATATGTGGGCACAGCTAAAACAGCAGATTTTGCAGTACTGGCATACTGTACTGCAAATAGTGCTTTGCTTGCATGGCATTATCTGCCTGAGACAACTAAGTGGGATTCCCCCTCGACTTAACATCATTTACTGCTTTTCAGTGGAAATTACAATTTGCTGTGAAAGATTAAACACCTCCCAAATAGAAAACTAGCAGTTCAAGCAGAAGTATCTTAGAAGCTCATTTCTCAGATAATACTGTTTTCTTCCATCATGCAGGAGCTTCTCCGTCTGTTTGGCATCCCATATATCGAAGCTCCAATGGAAGCAGAGGCCCAGTGTGCTATCCTGGACCTTACTGATCAGACCTCGGGGACAATCACTGATGACAGCGATGTTTGGTTGTTTGGTGCACGGCATGTTTATAAAAATTTCTTCAGCCAGAACAAATACGTGGAATATTATCAGTATGTTGATTTTCAAAACCAGCTGGGTAAGGCTCAGATACTAATATGTTAGATAGACTCTTTGATAAGGCTGCTTTTACTTGTATGTGTTTAAAGATGGGTTTCCTATGGAATTTCATGTCACCATTATGATGATGCCTGTTTTTTAGAGAGGACAGGCAATTGGGTTGTCGATTTTACTGCCAGATGACCTATCTGAACTTGCAGCCACTGGTTGCATCTGCATTTAGTACACTTTAGTTGGCATGATGATACCAGTTTCTGGGTAGATGCCAGTATGACTTTTCAGACATAGTAATAAAATTATATTCTGATAAATAACATTATCAGATTGTAATCTTCTGTAAGTAGAAGTTTATTTTGGAAGTGTTGACTAATGCCATATTAAAAAGGGATCTGATGATGTTTAAACACTGTAGAAAGTAAAGAGTTTTTTTTAATATTGACAAGATTTTTACTTCTTTCTTGTTATTATTGTTTTAATCTAACCAAGTAGTTGCTAGTTCAACTCTGAAGCTTCAGTGTCACATAGTGTATTGGAGAATAAATAGCAAATTCTATTTTTTCCTAATGTTTTGTTTGGGCAAAAGAGATAAAATCAGTTTTGAAATTTCTGAGCTAAGTAGGGTTATGGACACTGAAATAATATTTTAATGCTTTCAGCATGCAGAAATTTCACAGGTCACAATAACCAATTCACTATTCGTGAATATTTAACAATTTTCATCTTTCAAAAATTTCAAAGATTTCATCCTTATGTGATATAAAAACCGTAATTACATATCTTTGTATGCAGCAGCAAATTCGATTAAACCAATGTAGCTTACTAGCTTACATTGTGGGGGGGAGGAGAAAGAGTGCCCTGAAAGCTTCTGTGATTTTAGTTGTTATTATGGTGGCAAACTAGTGCTTTGGTTTTGTTTCTTAAAAATAGTAACCTCTGTCTTGGTGTTATGTCCCTCTGCAGCCCGTTATTACTGCTCCCTTTCCATGTATTGGACAATTTTTCTTTTGTTAACAGTTACTGGATATCCTTATTGGCATTCAGGTGGTCTTGATTTCTGTGTATAGACTCACTTTCCTCTTTTTCCCCCTGAAATAATTTCTTGGTCTGCAGTCCTGAAACTAGTCCCACCAAATCAGCTTGGAAGCCTCGTATTTTACAATGTAGGGAGTAGAAATGGTCGCCTGGGTTCTTCCTTCTTTTTCGTTATTTCACAGGCTCTTTTGATCTTCAAGAATAACTACAGTAGAATAAAGATGAAAATGCAGTTTGGGAACACTTAGGAAACAGAGTCATGAATATTATGGACTAGAGTTCAGAACTGGAGACTGGGGAATGCTGTAATCTGTGATTCAGGTGTTATTAAATTCATTAGATGAGACCTGGACTGTAACTGCAGAAATATATGCCAAATAATCTCTTAGCTGGTGTTTGGGGGAGTCTAGGTTTCTATATTGTAACATTTTAATTTTGGCATCATTATATTTGCACAAGGTATCATATTTTAGTACAATTGTACAAAGTGCTTGAAATTTAGTAAAAAGTATTTGAGCTGGCATAGCACAGAAACGCTGCTCCAGAAAGTAGTTTAGCAAACTCTAATGTTGAATGAAGTGTAGTTTTAAACAGTTAATGCCTATATATTCCTTTTCTTACTTATCTGTCAGATAATATACTTTTGTTAATTTGTGAGACAATAGATGCTGAATTCACTAGATTTATTTAGTTTATGGAGTTTCTTTTGCAGGTTTGGATCGCAGCAAGTTAATTAATTTGGCATACTTGCTTGGAAGTGATTACACTGAAGGCATCCCAAATGTTGGGTTTGTAACAGCAATGGAGATTTTAAATGAATTTCCTGGTCCTGGATTGGAACCTCTCTTAAAATTCACGTATGCTCTGTCTATTTTTTTTATTATTTTTTTAAAATTTTTTCCTTAATATGGATGTTAGTAGATATATTTTGCTGCTGCCAAAACGATCAAAATTAAGGAGACTAAGTTAACCCTAAAATACCTGAATTCATTCCCTACCTGAAATGGCTGGTAAATAGGGTGATATGTTGATACAGCAATCGCAGCAAAACAAGCAAAGACATTAGAACCGCTTCAGAATTGTGCAACTGCCTCTGAGTTCATTGCAGAGCTGGATCCCTAGTGGAGTGAAGGTTTCTCCCAAGAGTGTGAGGAGGTGCCCTAGCTTGCTCATAGAGAAAAGACACTTGAGTGAGGAGTGGATGTCCTGGAAAGAGACAGACAGGTAGGCTGTGGGGGAAAGGGGGTTTGAAGAGCGCCAAGCCAATTTTACTGGCAATGGCAGGGATGATCAGAAGTTATTTTTTGTTTCAGAAATCCTCCAAAAATGATCACTCTGTGTGGAGCATCCTTCTAAAGTGACACTGAGTTTAGGGCCTTCTGTTTGTCTACTTACGGGGAACTCAGGTGATTACAACTGGGGCTGCCAGATGGCCACATTTGTTGTCATTTGTTTTCTCCTTTCTACTCTTAAATTATATGCCCCTTAGGTGATGTGATTTAGAAATTCTCTACTTTGTCTCATATAATAACTGAAATAGAGAATCCAGTTAAGGCTTTTTAAGTTAGCATGGTTTCTCTTGATATTCCAAACTTTATTTTATGGATAGAAACAAAGTCTTTCCTCTGCTTTTCAGTGAGTGGTGGGCTGAAGCTCAGAAGGAGAAGAAACTGAGGCCTAATCCACATGATACCAAAGTGAAGAAGAAGTTGCGGCATCTGCAGCTTTCCTCAGGCTTCCCAAACCCAGCCGTGGCAGAGGCATATCTGAAACCTGTGGTGGATGAGACAAGGGGCTCATTCATTTGGGGCAAGCCCGATGTGGAGCAGATCAGGGAATATCCTTTTATGATATGACAGGGACTCCTTTTTAAAAGGAATCAGACTACAGTTCACAAGACTAGTTTAGCAGAGCCAAATTCTTCATGTCTCGCTAGTGTGAGAGTCCCCAGCTGAGCTATAGGTGCTCTCCTACAATTTTATCCACTCTGGAATTGAGAGGAGTGTGTAATTACATGTGTATAGCATCCAGGTCTGCGCTCCTTCCTGAGACCCTGGGCTGCTGCTTTCTGAATGCAAAGAATGGCTCTTGCCTGGCTTGTCGCACCTCTGTAACTGAGGTGAGCCTGTTTGTAGACTTGGCACGGGGTCGTTTCCACACTCCTGCTTTATCTGCGAGCCGCCTTTCACCAGTGCATTTCAAAATCTGATCAGAATGAGACTGACACTTTATCCCTAGCAATTATTTGCCACGTTCCTCATGCTAATGCCTGGTTCTTGCTTCAGCTGCAGCTTGAGCTGCAGTGAATTGTTGAAAAGCAGGTGACGGTGCAGGCAGAGCTAAGTTTATTTTAAACTATATATGAATTTCTGTGTGTGTGTTTAAGTGTAAAATTAAAATGTATAGATGTTGTGTTTTATGGTATAACTTCTTTTTGAATTTGAATTTGCAAAAACTTTCAACTACAGTAGCTTTTCTCCAAATGTTGGTTATTTGAGGAATTTTAATTTTGTGTATTTACAGAATATTGATAATCTTTTTTTTTTCTCCTTTTTTTTTTAAAAAAAAATCCTTAACTTTCCATACATTTTGTCAGGATCACTTTGGCTGGACTAGGACAAAGATAGATGAAGTCCTTTTACCTGTGCTAAAACAGCTGAACTCACAACAGGTGAAGTATAGAGCTATGTATACTTTAAGGCTAACCAGAAACCTGTAACAAACTTTTAAAAATGAATAAGAAGGCTTTAATCTAAAATGATGCTTAACTAACTTGGGCGAAACTTCCCTTGAATCTGTGCCTATAGAAATTCTTCAGAGAGCCTATACTGTTTGTAGAATAGCCTAGCATTTAGCATATTTTTATTTTAATATATTTTTAAAGTCACTAAGCTCTTATTTGTAGAGATTTTGTTGTTGTATGATTGTGAGGAGTTCTACATAATTTCAAAGGTTGTAAATGTAAAAGGTGCTTTAAAATCTCGTTATCTATCAAACATCTGTTTCAAGTCCAAATTGTTCTTTGTTCTGCATCTCGCTGATTGCTACAGATACCTGAAGCTTTTGAAAAGCAGTGTCCTGTATTTTAAAATGATTTATATGTGTCCCTAAAATTCTGGTCAAGTCAGACTGACCATTGAGTGCCATCCATAACCTTTGGGGAGAAGTGCAGACTGAGCGATTGCTGTTGATTGAGCACCCGTTTGTTACACTACTCCATTTTATAAGTAAATATACTGAGAAGTTTAATGGAGTTTAAAGGTGAAAAGCGATGCATGCACCGACACTCTGAAAGTTAGTTGTAAAACTAATGAGCAAAGATCGGCTTCTTTGCTTGTTTTACTATCAGCAAGATAGATGTGTAGTCAAAACCAGTCTTCTAGGTCCTCTCTATTAGACAAAGGAGTGAAAAGTACCACAAAAACTGTAATTAAGTTTGTATACTTTTAGGCTGACTGAAACATTCTTTGCAAGTGTGTCTTGCAGTCAGTTTTTTGGGAGAACCTGGAAACTGGCTTAGTCTCCTTGCCTGTAGTTGAGTAAAGTGGATCTCATGGTGTCTGACTCCTCTGGGTTCTGCTGTTAATCTTTATCCTGCAGCAGCCTCTCTTACAGGGCACGCCAGTCAAATCGCAGCATTTTGTTGCACTGGCCTGGGCAAAATGTAAGGGGCAGATTCGGCATCTGCCTGATAAACTTTATGTTGTTCTAACAGCTTGCAGCTGAGAACGGGCTTGTGAGGACAAACTTAAGAGCACTATTAGAATGTTTCTTAATTAAAGTTGAGTAACGGAGGTGATTAAGGGACTAGAGCCTCTATCGCATGAAGAAAGCCTAAGCGAGCTGGGCCTCTTTAGCCTGGAGAAGAGAAGGTTGAGAGGGGATCTGATTGATATGTACAAATACCTGAGAGGAAAATGTAAAGAAGATGGGGCCAGGCTCGTCTCAGTGGTGGCCAGTGACAGGACAAGGGGTAATGGGAACAAATTGAAACACAGAAAGCTCTATCTCCACTTGAGGAAGAGCTTCTTTCCTGTGAGGGTGACAGAGCCCTGGAACAGGCTGCCCAGAGAGGCTGTGGAGTCTCCTTCTCTGGAGACCTTCCAAACCCACCTGGATGCCACCATGTGCCACGTGCTCTAGGTGTCCCTGCTGGAGCAGGGGGTTGGACTAGGTGATCTCTAGAGGTCCCTTCTAACCTCAACCATTCTGTGATTCTGTGAAAATGGCAACCTATGTCTAATCATAAGGAGAACACAAAGTTTTTGCATCTCACAGATGTTTCCCCATTACCTAGTTTCTTGAAAGAGCACTGTAGAGGTTCTTACTTTAGAGAAGGTAAATTTGTTGCATGATTTACAGCGATGACTATGATAATTCATTTTGTAGTCAACATCTGTTTAGTTGCTTGTTAAATTTAATGGTCTTTCTCCTACTTAATTTAAGATACTGTGTAATACATCTTAGATAACTATTGAAATCCTGTCACAAAAGAAAATCCAAAGCTATTTTGTTTTGTTTCTGATAGACTCAGCTTCGAATAGATTCGTTCTTCAGGCTAGCACAGCATGAAAAACAAGCCATTAAGAGCCAGCGACTTCGCCGAGCTGTGACATGCCTGAAGAGAAAGGAAAAAGAGGAGGAAGACAACGAGATTCGGGAGGCTACTGCAGTTATGGAAGATGAACTTAAGCAGCATGAGGAAAGAAAAGGGAAAAATCCTGTGGATTGCTCAGATCATCAAGTGACAGCACAAATGAAGAGAAAGAAACATTCAGATTCCAAAAGGGAACATTTATATGGAGGCGGTTTTATTGGGAGTTTGCATCTTTCAGAAGCCTCTAGTGACTCCTCAGTAGAGGAATTGGAAAGCAGGGGTTTAGACAAGAGCAAGAGGAGGAAAACTGTGTCTCAAATGGAGACAGCAAGCGCTAAGGAGAAAAAGGGGTACAGTAGCTCAAGTGGTGAGGATGAAGAAGGGGGAAACATAGTCCTGGTGACTGCCAAACCTGTGTTTGAGGGAAAAACCCGTAAATCGCAGAGTAAGAGAGGAAGAAAAAAGAAAAAGTCTTAAACAAAAAAAGTTTTAAAGAGACGCAGGGGGACAGGGCTATGACTTAAAAGTGTAAATATTCTAATGAATTTTGTGATAGAAAAAAATAAATTATCCCTATTCATCTTGCATTGTCTTTGTGTCCACCATTTGTATTGGAATGTTAATATATGGGAGGGATTTTATTTATTTATTTATTTATTTATTTATTTATTTTTTAAAGCTGGTTCAAAAAGCTGTTGATTAGGCTTGGTAAATGTTTTCTGTCTGAGACTGTAAAATTTGAGTCAGAAAAATTGACCTGCATTCATTTGCCCTCTCACCAAAATGAGAGAGAGAAAAAAAAAGTCACAAAGTCGCATGCAGTCTGTGCTTTCCTTATATCAAATTTGAACAAAACTTTGGAAGTGACTTAGTGAATTTCCGCATACTGAGAGAAGGAAATTAAGTTCAATTTATTTTGTTTTCCTTATTCTCTGCAGCATGCCTGGCTTCAAATCTTCGTGCATCTTGAATCATCCATGATATAAAATAAGGCATTATAAAATTTCATAGTATGGTGCAATATGTTCTTATACAATCTGAGATGGAGTAAGTGCTTATGTTCTGAATATAAACTTGAAGTTATATGAGCATGTCCGAAGTGAGATTTTGTCTGTTCAGCAGTACCGCAGTGATGCTCAGCAGTAGTAAAGATTTTTAATTTTAATGCCTCTTGCTGCTTTAGCTAGTCCTATGATCAGGTCACTAATCACAAGCTCCATACAGGAGGATTCTGACTGTGATTTTTTTCTGATGCTGCCAGTCCTACTCATGTTCTTGCATTAAATGTTCATCCTTCTTTGTGGTCATTCAGTGCTTTTATTTAATTTCTTATGGTTTTGCTGTCTGTAAGTCGCAATCCACACAATCGATCATCCTGTAAGGATGAAGGGCTGACATGACCTGGATAGATTTGGCCTTTTTGATTTCAGAGTCTAGTGTTTCATGTACTATGAGCATGAAATATCCCTCTTGATGGTACCTTCATAAGAGGTAAGTGTATTTGTAGGATATTCTCAGTCCAGACAGCCAATGTTGAGCAGTTTTGCTGATCACTCTTTAGCATTTATGGAAGTTACCTGAAAAGTGCAGATCAGCTCTCACTGGTTTCTTTGATGGCTTCTAAGTGTAAGCTATGAATTTGGTTTCGGACTGGATAGATTACAGTCTAAATAAAGGATGATGAGAAGAGGGGTGATGCAGGCATTTGTGTCGACAGCTGTTTCATGACGTTAATATTTCACTCGAGAGTTGACAAGGATTTGTTTGGGAGTTGCACCTTGCTAAGGTTTTGCCTTCTGATGTAAGCATGCATTTACATTTCCTTGTCCCAAATATATTCCTGTGTTTTTCAAATGGGCCCCTGGTGCTTTGTGCAAAGGAAAAATCCGTTGTCTCTGAAGCCTTTTATTTTATTTTATTTTTTCCTCTCTCTGTTCAGTTATTTTTTAATGCAGTGAGAAGTTAGTAAAATTGTGCGGTTATCTTACACTAGTGTCAGATGTTCCATAATTGGTTCTTCCTTGCTGGTTTCCTGCCTAGGTACCTGCTGCTGCTTTGTAACCTCGGTTCCCTTACGTAAGGGCGCCGGGTTCCCTGGGGGCCGGCGTAGGTTGTATCCACTCTGTGTTCACGCTGCAGCTGTCGAGATTTATTATCCCTCCTGCTGTGGGGATGTTGGCAATGCGTGACACGCACTCAGAGCTCGCCCGCCTGGCGCTGCCGGGGAGCCGGCGGGGAGAAAGGAGGGAGCGAACGGAGATTTTTGTTTGTTTTTGAACATTACGTCGCGTTTGGGAAGCTGAAAGAAGAGCTTGAGGTAATGCCCGCCGAAATGCAGTAGGTGTGAGTCGCTGCAGTGCTTGAATTGCTTGTGGCTTCAAGGGTGTGCTCTTCATCGGAACTACTTTGCATCTTTTACCTTAAAGAGCATAAATCAGTAGCTGAACTGTTCTGTACTTAACGGGTTTAGTTACTTGTTTTGAAGTAACGTTCTCAAGTCGCAGCTTGCTATACCTCGAATCGTGTTTTTAGAAGAAGAAGAAAAAAAGTGTTTAGGAGTAAAATGCAAAGCTTTTCCCCTTTAAAATCATTTTATAGTGCAACCTTACTTGTTTGTGCAAAGACACTTAATATTAAGCCATTACTTTTATCCACTAATTAGAAGAAAAAGTAGTCATTTTGCACTTCTGAGCTAGCTGTAAAGCTGGTGAATGTGTGCAACATTTACTGTTTCACGTCTAGAACTTTATAACGCTACTTAGTATTCTGAAGACAGATACAAAAGATACAAAGATTCTCAATTCACTGAAGCTGTCTTTCCTGTTCCCCATGGAATAGTGTTACTAGTGGTAAGTTTATAGGAAATCATAGATACAGTAGTAACGTTCTTACTCCATATATTTTGGTAATGTGTAAAAGCCAAATAATGTTTTTAAGCTTTGAATAGGTTGATGACTTTTGGCACTGTGGTGGTAGGATTGGAAATGTATGTGTAGGATAAAATCAGAAAGAGTATGTTACTAAAAAGACATAGACAATTCTATATTATACAGTTTCATCCTTGGATCTTGAAAAGTAAATCTGTCTAGGGCTTCAAATTGTGATTTTTTTTTTTGTGATATTCAGCCTTTTTTATTTTTAATGCTTTCTCTCTTTATCCATCACCTTATTTAATTGTATCCCCATGGTTCTTTAGATATCTACAAATTATTAACTGTATGCTGCCTATAACTGTTCTTGCACAAATCAGTCAAACTTATGCAAAACTATCAGAGTACTGTTAATCTTTGTTATTTTGCAAGCTCAGTGTTTTCCTGATTGCAAAATGCCAAGAACCTGAGAGCATTGATTGTCTATCTACTTTTCTACAGACAGGTGAAAATTGCACTGTTCTTTTTTTGGCTGTGATACTGCTCTGCAACTTTCTGTATAAATTTTGTGCATTACTTTTTTTTCCTGCTGACTATGCATGTTCTGGGTCTATTTATATATAGACACCATGCACGTTCTGGATTCTGTATGATGTCTGTAATTTCTGTTCTTAATCTCATATGCAAAATTTCACCAATAGTGTATTTCCTTCCTTTCCAAGCTAATTCATTCAAGCAGGATTAGAGCCTTTTGGTCCAAGTTTTCTTCTGCTTCAGACATTTGATGGTACAAATTCTATTCATATGAATTCTAATTTTAAAAATTGAAATTTCTTAGAAAGATTTTAAACAGTTATGAAAGCTTGTTTATTTATTTATTTATTTTAATGTATTCTACCTCCCCATTGGGAAGTTGAGCAGTTAAACTCATCTGAGATTTGCTGAGACAGTTTGCTGCTCTGGTTCCATTATGCTCTGAGTACCTAGTGATTTTTGTGCATCTCTACGTCTCTCGTTATTATTATTATGAATAAAACATAGCATAATAACTGTAAAAATAACTTTTTATTTTGAAAAGTGTTATGCGAAGAAAATTAAAATTGTTTTGTTCATTTTGGCAGGTAGGAAGGTTCGTGTTTCTCTGCGGTGTCCTGTGGCACAGTATGGATTTGACATCACCACACCATAATAATCTCCATAATGAACTGACAAGAAAAATAGAAGGCCAAGAAGGTAAACGAGTTTATTATCCACCATATTTTTTGTTACACTTCAGAAAATTAATGAATAGGAGCTAAGGTGCCTCACTGACCGTGAACTATTCTCTCATTCGTACTTTTCCTGAGGAATTCTATTAATGGCATTTTACTGAAAGTGCAACAGGTAGCGCTCTGAAAGTGCAACAGGTAGCGCTGTCGTAGGACTCCAGCTGCGTGGCAAATGTCTGCTATGCCGGAGCACATTGGTGTGCCAGCATTTGGCCTCTTGCCTCGGCTACTTGCCCATGACTGGTTCCAAGGAATGAAGCCGTGACTCCAATCAACCCACAAGAGGTTTCGGTGTGGGGTGTCAGGTGGACAAAAATCAGTTTTTCCAAGTTATCAGTTATTCTCTCTAGACAACATCAAACTTAATGGTCAAATACCTTCATCACAAGCTGGTAGCAGCTTTCAAGATGCATCAGGATGCAAGACCATCTTTCAAGATGCATCAGGAATAATCTCAGTTTTTAGGCATTACCAGGTTTTGGACAAGTTACTTGTCTTCTCTTGAGGTGGTGTTTAGGTAGGTTCTACAGCTGAATATGAAGGCTTTTTCTTCCCCATCCCCCCCGCCTTTTTTTGGTTTCTTTGGCCTTGGATTGTTTTCCCAGATTGTTTCCCAGTTATTTAGCAATGCACAGTGTCTCTGTCCTGGGGCCCTTGGCAGAGATGGCGTTGAGTGCTGCTCTTGCGTGTGTGTGCTCTCCCTGTCAGCTGCTTGCTCCTGTTCTTGTTCTTTGGTTTCACACATTAAGAAAGAGATCTAAAAATTTCCGACTGTGTGGAAACCTTAGATTTCTTTCTTTTTTTTTTTTTCATCCCAAGGATGACTCAATGCTTCAATTAGTTATTTGCTTATTGAAACTTCTTGATTTGCCTTTTTTCCCTCTTTTTGAGTGACACTGCCTTCTATGCAGTAACACATCTAAATATACTTAACAGAGGTTTTATTGGGGAAAATAAAAGTCTTTTCTTTTGAATAATGACATTGTTAAAGAATGGATATAATTGAATTGAATAGAAGGAAATTTAACATTGTAAATTAAGAGATTTCCATGTTTCCTGAATATAAAAGTGTCTGTAGAATGGGGTGGGGGAGGATTAACCTTTAAAAATAGAAAACATTGAGCCTGTTGCCTTTTAACTGCATTGAAAAGTTTTATAGTAGTAGTAGTGTGTAATCAGAGAGTTGAGTTTATCATATAAATAAAGGTGAAAATCATGTTTTTAAGGGAAGGAAAGCAAATAATATTCCTTATTTGGAATTGTTATAAAGTTTGTGTAGAGGAGAGGTAAATTTACCTGGAATATATGTACTCTGTATAAACCTGCTGTATTTAGGATATGCTGTAAGTGACTAGTACTATAAGTTTTGAAATATTTTCACTTTAAGATTTTGATAATAGTAGAAGAGATTTGAATGACCGAGATGCAATTTTTAAAAATACTCTAAAATATGAGTTTTCTCAGAACAGCTGCTTCAGGAACAAAAAAAATGAAAGCAATATGTACCACACCTGGAAAGCTGGGTGGGAGGAGAGAGAAAAACAAGTTTTTCCAGGAAATTTTTGTTGTCTTTTGCTCTTTTGGAGGTTTTTTGTTTGCATTTTTTTTTCCATAGCAGACCTAAGAAAATCAATTGCTGATGTAAAGCTGACATTGCACAATAACACAGCTCACAAGGATTGATATAGATTGTATTTCCACAAAGCACTGTTTAAATACCATAATCCTGAGATTTTATATAATGCAATTCCCCTTCCTAATGTGTAATTCTGACTTGAGAGCTCAAGTTGATCCTACACTATAAATGAAGCATGATTGTTAGGGGAAGAAATACCCAGAAGTATAAATACTAAAGATAAAACTGCTAAAGACTGAAATATTAATGACTTATGTATTCTATAGTACTCTAGAGAGCTGGGTTGAAGTTGCATAAGCATTTCTATGCTTCTGCAAGATTGGCTTTCTAGTATTGATGTTTTCTTCATGAGGGATTTAGGGCAGGGAAAAGTCTGCCTGCAAATCCTTAAGCTTTGTAATTAGGAATATAAATTGAATTCAGTCAGCAGGGCAGAGTGTCTGGATCAGCTACAACTGCAAGGTTGAAGGAGGAGATCATCCTTCCCTCCTGGAATACTCTGTCTGGTTCTGGGCTCAAAAGAAACACGGACTTACTGGAGAAACTCCAGTAAAGAACATCCACAAAGATGACCAAGGGCCTGGAGTGTCTCTCGTGTGAGGAAAAGCAAAGGGGCTGTGACTGCTGAGCCTGTAGAAGGCTCAGAGGGGGATCTTAACAGCGTTTATTAACTATGTGATGTGAGGGAACGACACAGAGCCAGACTCTCAAGTGGTGCCCAGTGACAGAACAAGAGGCGCTAAGCCCAGATCCCCAACGGGTTTGTGCAGAGGGACTGTGGAGGTCCCTGTGCTTGGAGATAGTCAAAACCTGCCCGATCACAGCTCTGAGCCACCTGTTACAGCTGACCCTACTTGAGGATCTCCAGAAGCACCTTCCAGCCTCAACTATTCTGTGATTCCTTGAAATGTATTTCACTTAGCTACAGAGTAGCTACCTGATAGTAGTAGAACATTGTTCCCTGGAGTGTCTAGCAATGCTAATTTAAGAGGATGAGGAGATACAAATGAAAAATGGGATATATCGATAGTTTTGCAGTTTCATCTCACAGCAGGCTTTGGGTTATTAAGTTCCATGAGAAGCTCTGGAGGGGAGAACACCGAACCTCCTCCATGGACACTTGCCTGGTCTTCCCCCTCTGCCTGCACCTCTCTTATTCTTATGCTTTTCCTCTACCCTGTTTAATCATTAAAGTCCATTAACTTTACCTACCAAGTCTCAATCTATGTTTCTCAAGGTTCTTATTCCTGCTCAGTTTCTCAGCAAGTTCTGCTCTGAACTCTTTATATCCATCCTCTCCTCTTTCCTTCCCAGACAGATTCTGATTTCTTATTATAGTACTCCCCACTCTTGCTCCTGGTTCCTATTACTACTAGATCCCACATCCTGTCAGTCATCCATCGTGCCTACATCATTAGATGTCTCTTCTCTTTCCTCTAATAACTTTCATGATCACTCACTTTAACTTGCTCTGGTTAAAGTTTCCTGAGCTCCTACTCCACCACTCCCTTCTTCCTTTCTTGGAATGCTGGATTTCTTTGTCACATTTGCCTTATTTGGATTCACCTCAGAATAATTTTGTCTTTGAGACAAGAAGAGGAGAGCATGTTTGCAAAACGTACTTGTCCTTGGCACTTCAGTGTCTCACTTTGCTTGGCCAGGGCCCAGTTTTTAATCCATAAATATCTGAGAAAATGCTGACCTGGTAACCTTCACATATCTTCCAGCATTTTATAAGGGATACACTCCCTCTCCTCCCCTGCTTGACAGATGTCCTCATTGATGACAGTTACTCCCACACTTTTAAGTCTCTGGGTGAAGTCCAGAACGATGCCTTAAATGGGACAGCGTTGGAACTGAGGCAAGTGAGGAGCAGTCTAACCCTCTAGCTTGAAAGATAAGATATTCATTTGGGGAGATGGACTGAGTTGCTGTCTTGTTCCTATTTCCTGAGTTGTTTATAAAGACTTTTATTATTTTCTCCCCTTCCCACTGACTCTTTTCTATTGCCCTTACAGGCTGTAATACATCGAATATAAAAAACACATTCTGGGTCCGGAAACTAGAACCTAAGACTTCTTCCTCCCAGCTGAGTGTCCTGATGATATTTGGGCTTTTTCGTGCTTGCTGGCTTTTCATATATTCCTTGTGGCTCAGCTATAATGGTGGTGGAAGGGAGGAGATGAGACTGACCGCATGATTCTGTAGGATGGTTAGGAACACCCCCAGGATGCATTTGAATCACTCTGAGGAAGATCTACACCCTGATTTCTCCACTTTCTGAATGGATGCTTAAAATGCTTAAAATACCAAAATACCAAACCATTCTCTAAACAGTGAACTTTTCTATTAACAGTGCTGGTACAATGGAACCTCTTTATGCTATTCATAGTGTCTGTTTTGCTATATCTTCCCAACACTTGCCTTCTCTTCCTTCAGCTTCCTCTTTTCCTGTCTTTCTGCCTAGAATTATGCTTCTATCTTTAAAAAGAAATCTATTGCATTAATTCTTGCCTTGAAAAAACCTGTTATGAACAGTATGTTTGCATTAGTTACCTGCATCTTTGTCTTCACTACATGATTCACCTAAAGTACTGGAACTTAAATTCTACTCCTCTCAGGTGACAAGCTGTCTCCAAATGGAAAAAGACTAAAAGAGCTAATGCGAAATAACACTTTATATATAGTATGGTACATAGTGTAGTTTATATATAGCATAATATAGAGCATAACACATTTTATGAGTAACTAGAACTAAATTACACCTTCACAACAAACTAGAACACAATAGTATCTGCTTCTATCTGCTCTCTTGTAGCAACTTATCTTTGAGTTCGCTTGGATATGGTAACATTCAAAATAGTGTAGTAAACTATTCTAAACCTTTCTCTTTCTCAACAAGTAAATCCCCTTTTGTCGAAGGCATTAGTAAACTTCAATGAAAACTTCTTGTGTATGGATAGAACAGAAATTGGAGGAAAATCTTAAGTAATCACAGCATGGATTAACTCTGCAGGGAAGTCTATAGTGTGTTCCTCCCTTTCAGCCATGTGTCTATCTTTTCTGCTTCAACATTTTTCCTCATCTGTGGTTTCTCCATTGCATTAGATGCATTTCAACAACAAATGAAGTGTTTCTCAACTGTCACAAGAAAAAGTGGCATGTTCTCATGGATTGATGATGTTGTTGGTTTACTCTCTGACCCTCTATGCAAAGAAAAACTTTTGAAATGCAAAATTATTCATAGGGGAAAATCGGTAGGTGTTTTTGAGTCTCTCCTATTTCATTCATCATGGTACCTTGTATGCTCTGGTATGATTGTGAAGAAG